CAGCAAAATTATGAGTAGTGTATTACGTATGTACATGTATTGCAATTTTCGAGTATGTTACCAACTGAAACAAGAGGCTATCTGGTGCAGCATATTCAGTTGAGTCTCCCGTGAAAACCAAATTGATTTGCAAATGAGTGTGTTTCTCGAAAGCCAACGACCAGTTTGTCTTTGTCCATCGTCGACAAAACTGCCAACTCCCTGCAAACTACGGGGATTTCGTGGACTTGTATTGTATACGGTGACACTTCTATCTTTGATAATGGACGTTCGTAAAAACATCTGTGCAGTGGATAATAGTCGTGACCGAAGTACCGTTTAGCGTAACACCCAGGTAGTAAGTACGATTTGTTGAATGTAATTTCAGCCTAGTAAGCTCTGGCTGCTAATTCCTTCTTTCCGTCGGACTATAAATCGTGATGACCTTAACTTGTACCTAGTCCTAATGGCCGTAGGAAGCGCTACGGTGTTTTGAGGTCTACCGGTCTATCATAATAAACGTATACATTCATCCAGACCACCTGGTAATTCAACCGAAGGAAAACAATGAAGATGCTGAAGTATGTTCACACTGTTGTAATATAAACCTGTCAACAGTCTCAGGTCGTCATATTCAGTAACCAATAAAAACTCACCCTCTAGTTTTCGGTAGAAATAAAACTTAAGTGTTCTGAATCAAAGAACCGGACTGCTGGTTATTCAGGGCTGGGAGGGACACTGACACCCCTGTTAACGTTTACCTTATCACAGATTACCGACATTCCAAACATGCACTGTTTTCCTGGAGGATTGTGATGGCCTGAATATGGCAAGATGTGTCACCGAGGCTGAGTTTCGACATTCCATGTTGTCCTCAATGCAGCTTTCTTGATGCGCGCTTGATGTGTTTTTCTGTGCTTACTCAGATGATCACTTCGCATGAAACGTTTACCACATTGTTCACAGAAAAATCGTTTTTCACCTGTATGAGTCCGAATATGGCGTTGAAGTTCATCTGATCTGGTGAATGCCCTGCTGCAGAAATTGTACCAACACTGGAATGGTCTCTCATCGTTATGCCAACGAATATGGGCCTTCAGATGACTGGTTTTGCCATAGGTTTTTCCACACAAATCACACAGATGCAATTTACGCAGTCTCATTGACTTCGCGCAATTCATATCGGCTACATTGGTGATAACAGCTCCCACGTTAGGTTTGTGATTCTCACTAATCACACACATACTTTTCTTGTACTTTTTGTTACCGCGCGTCTTCGTATCCATCTTTCTCATGAACGAATAATGGCGTTTTGTTACCAGTTGTTTGAGTTACTCTGGGTCCCGTTGTCCACTGGTTGAGTAGTGTCATTTTCGGGTATCCTGTACAGGTCTACTTGTGGAAGTGTGGCGATGCGCAGCCCTGGATCTTGGGTCAGTAGTGCAAACTGATCTTCCGCTATTGAGGCGCCATGAAGCCTTGATGACTTTGATTCGGGAGATACAGACCAGACTTGTTCATTTTGTAGCAGGAGGCTATTTTGATGAGACGAGGTAGAACATCCTATAGCTGATTGGTTTGGAAATGTATCATGGCTGGTTACTAGTGGAGCTGACTCTGAAAGTTCATGAAGTTGAATTGAGTGGGCTAAGAGTGGCTGAAGGAAGTTGGCTGCACCGGGTAACGATGAAAAATAAAAATCAGGGCACATGGTTGTCTTAGTATTGGGGAAGTTTTTTAAAGAGGTGTGCAAAAGGATCGCCGAATAAGCTCTCAGCTGAGCACCGAATCTTTTATCTTCCTCTGAGACAGGATGGTTCCATGGTTGCTTTTGAACCGAACGAAATGCACTGGGACATGACTGACGTAAAAAGTTTTGTGAATGGTGAGGTTGTTCAGTTCTGGATAATCCACTTGTCATCAGTGAAGAATGCGTAGCCCCGCAATCCATAGGCGAATAAGGTAGCGCCATCAACCCTAATTTGCTCAAATGTTCCCGCAGCCTGTGGTACAATACCTTCATTTCACGACTTGCCCAAAAGTCACTTGTGAGGGAGTCATTTGGTGCGTTTAGTGCACAAGGAAAGTTGTAACAAGTTGACATTACTGATGATAGGATGGTGTCTTTCGGGTTGCCACAGAGTTCCAGTTGACACAGTGCACCGTTATCTGAAGAATGCTGCGCGGAGCACAGTGGGTCAAAGTAGGGAGTTCTTGTTTTTAATTTCATTCTGTCAGGTGAAATGTAGGACAAATCCTCTCGATCCAACTCTTGGTTCGTTTCTGCAAACGGAAAGGGAAGAAATAAGGTAAGGGTACCTATTCTTGAACTAGTAACGCACAAGCGCACAAAAGAACGTATTCAACAGCGTCATATTGAGTTTTTATGAAAAGGGGTTATCAGGTTAGGAAGAAACCGGAATTAGATTGGTTGTGTTGGGTTTCCTGTATTTCGAATGCTACGGCAGTGGCACGTGGACATTTTGAACTGCTATATCTTTGTAATGTGCTACTCATAAGTTTGCTGAAAATCCGTTGACAGCCCACGACCAGTTTCGTCCTTCTTGAGGCTCATCAGGTAGGTGCAGTTCCCGAGTTTCTGTCAACCTTATGTTCTACTTGAAACCAAATTGCACGAAATTAGCGAATATACACTCATTTGCAAACTAAATTGGTTTATTGAGAGACTCAATTGGAACCCAGTTGAATCGCTCGTTTGTAATTTAATCACTCTCAGTCAAGTGGAAAAAGTTTGGAACCGAGTGGGGAGTCATCGTTTCAGAAGGTATTGGTAAACAATCGGTAGATTTAAGGTTGATAGCAACTTGAGGACTGCGCTTACCTGATGAGCCCCAAGAAGGGCGAAACCGGTCGTGGGCTGTCGACGGATTTTCAGCAACCTTATGAGTAGTACATTACAAACATTTACATGTATCGCGATATTTCAAATATCCTAGCGATTGAAACATGGGGCGGCCTGGTGCAGCACATTCAGTTGCCTGAGAACATCATAAACGAGAGATTCAGCTGGGTTCCAGGTGAGTTTCTCGAAAGAACCAAATTAGTTTGCAAATGAGTGTATATTCGCTAATTTTGAACTGCTATTTACTGACATTTTCTTGCTATGCTGAATTGATCACCGAGGCTTCAGGTCAAACGCCCCAAGGGGAACTCAAGGTTTATTAGAATTAATAGAAATATAGATATATCTAGGTATGAATTTGAGAAATTCCAAGGTGTTTCAACTTTTTGCCTCAAAGCGTTGTGCATTCCCCAGAACATCTGGAGATGAACCTAATGACTGAAATAGGAATTTATTTGAATGGAAATTCTAGTCACTTCAATAGGCTTCGTACTATCGACACGCTGCAAAGATTTTTGAAGCAGCTTAGCAGAAACTGATGCAATCCTGAAAACAGCTGATCTAGTCAAATGTGCGGGGGGGTTGGAGTGCTCGGAGATCCATCAAGAAAGGCACCGACCCTTTATACCACCACATCTCTCACTGCAGCTACAGTAGAGTGATCCGACATATTCTTGAATTTAGTTTAAAACATAAGCCCTCCGGGTGAGGAGACTAGGCGAAACTAACTGGATGATTTGGAGCAGATTAGATTCAGCACTCTGGTTGCCTTTAGACGATGAGCAAAGTAGACTCAGAGATAATCATGTCAGATGGTGTATTCGGTTTGTCGTATATGATAATGGGTCTGTCCAGGCTGCATATAGCAGCCCTTTCCTGGATGAACTGTTGTCCACCCGTCTTGGCCCATGGTGCTTACGTCCACCACTTGCAAACCAATCAACTTAATGTAAAATTAGAAATTTTGAAATGAATACTAATCATGACAACAAAAAAATGAAATTAGGATGAGAATGGGGGAGAAAAAGACCATCCACACACCTCTTTTCATAAAGGAAACTACTCACAAGGTTGCTGAAAACTTGTAAGTAGTTTCCTTTATGAAAATATACTGCGATATCTCGAATATCGTGCCAACTGAATCATGAGGCGGCCAGTTTGCAGCGCATTCAGTTGTAGAATATCATAAACGAGAGATTCGGTCGGGTCTCTCGTGAAAACCAAATTGATTTGCAAATTGGTGTATTTCTCGAGAACCATCCATACACCGTTTTTAAAGATAATGACTTGAGATAATAGCTCATAGTAGTTGGTGAAGTCTTGCCAGAAAAAATATGCGCTACTACTTGGCCTAATGAGTTCCGCTTTGATCTAAGCTGTTCCTTCAACAACAAAGCGAATAGTTTGCGTACGGGGCACTATAAGGACTTTAGCTATTCAGCTAACATTTTTGTTTACGCTAAAATGGACAGATAAGCAATTAACTATCGTGGAATATTGGTAAAGAATTTTGGGAACCTATCAACAGAATACCAAGTGTCGACAAAGTTCGAAATACTGTTTCGAACAATGAGGGAATAAAAATCCTCACCAGCCGAAGATTAGGTCCGCGATAGGCCAAATTTAGCTTAGTGAAAGATCGTTACAGTCATACACTTGATCTGTGGATTTCAACTGAATTTGCTGTTCTTGAATTTCCGCTGATCTTCGAGGATATCTGTTATTTTTCTTATGTTATCCACTTTGTTCGTTATTTGATCCTCTGTCCCAGTGCAAAGACGGCGTCATGCACGCGAATTTTGGGTACTCTAAAACTGTATTGAGTTGGAACACGGTTCTCTGGCTCCACTTAAAGCCAGATTTACGATGTTTTTGGGTAGTATAGAAGGCTATTCTTGGTGAGGTCACGTTACTTTGACAAAACAGGCATGATGTGTGTGAGTTCATGACTCAGTGAGCATGACCTAGATACAGTGATTCAAGAATAATCATAAAGAAATTTGTGAACATGAGAATATATTGCTTTGGCTGGTTTGCTTCCATTGGATTTTTCTGTATTGTGAAAGGATAACAAAGTTTAAAGAGTACATTTGTAATGCACTACTCATTAGGTTGCTGAAAACTCCACAACAGCCCACGACTGGTTTCAGCCATTTTGGGGCTTATCAGGTAGGCGCAGTCCTCGGGTTTCCTCAAACCTTACGTTCTACTTGAAACCAAATTGCACAAAATTACCGAATATACACTCATTTGCAAACTAATTTGATTTTGCCAGAGACTCACCTGGAACCCAGCTGAATCTCTCGGTTTTGATGTTTACAGGCAACTGAGTAGTGCAGTAAAAATATGTACATGTATCGCGATATCTCAAATAGCATAGTGACTGAAACATGAGGTGGCCTGGTGCAGCACATTCAGTTGCCTGGAAACATCACAATCGAGCGATTCAGCTGGGCTCCAGGTGAGCATCTCGAAAAACCAAATGACTGTATATTCGCTGATTTTGTGCAATTTGGTTTCAAATAGAACGTAAGGTTGACGGAAACCCCGGGGAAAGTTTAGAGTGCTTTGTTGGCACATTCACAGCGGAAATTCTCTTATGACGAGCTGATTAACTCCAGACACCAATTTGATATTGAACGATTACGTTAGTTGTTTTCCATGGTAAACGCAGAAAAACGCGCACAACTAGCTAAAATTTGGGTTCAGTTTTCAGTTTTCCCTCACTGCACCAACTCTCTGACCGGAGTCAATGCCTTTGGGCGTCCATTAGGAGACAGTCACTCAGAAGCGAGGAGCACGGTACACGCAATAATCAGTTTGGTCCACTTAAAACAATGCTTACTACAATGGAAACAGAAGTGACGTGGAATTATGGCCGATGGTGTGTGTGTGGGCTCAACGAAAAACTTCGGAACCCTGCGTTAACTCCCTAATTGAGCACTTGTTATTATAAAGCGATGAAGATGCTCAGCTGAGTACTGCTCATATTTTTGCTGACTTGTATATTTGAGCTACGTATTCTATCTGATGCGCATAACAAGGAAAGAGACCAAGTCAGTCACAGGCTGAATAAAGACGTGTTTGATACCGTTTCACACGCTCCAGTGCTCCAGTTCTCAGAAACTACATAAAAACTATCACAAATTTTCCAATCACTGACGTCCCTTTAAAAGTTCGGAAGATTATCGTGATCTCATCATGATCGAGTCTTGTTTCGCACTGCTCTAGCGATTCTTTAATCACCCTTTTTCTGTCTACCACTTATGAACAGTTTATTCATATTTTAGCCTATATTGTTTAGGTTAGGGGGAAGAAACTTTTCACAATATATATTGAAGGGGCTGCATGGTGCGAGATAGGCTGCGAAGCTGTGACGAAAAGGAAGAACTTGCTAACAACGGGTTGTTGGAGATTTACCCGGTGTGTTCGTCAAGTTTGGCAATTAGCTTGCAAACGTTCCTTTACTAATGAGGAACAGTGATGTCTTCTCGATTCGTGACAGAACGCTTGCAAGCCAACCGCTCAGCTCAGCAAACAGGCCAAAAACCACCAACAACAGATTGATCTGATTGCAGCCGGATACACTCGAGGTGAGTATAATACAATATTCATTGACTTTAATAGCAGACGCGATTGAATCCCAGCTCAGTCCCTGATTTACGCGCTACACTTCAACTATGTATGTTGCAGCCTCATGCTTAATTTGGCATGTCAACGGAACACACACACTGACGNGACGCTCTTCGAGGTCCCCAAACGGTTTCGCACCCAGAGTTTCCAGTAAGGTGATGCCCTATTACAACCCTATTTGTATGCACCAGCGAAATACGCCCATTTGCAAGTTGGTCTGGTTTTATCGGGTGACTCAACCGAATCCCAACTGAATCTTTCGTTTACTATGCTCTTTACTATTGTGCGTATAGTACATTCTTTTAAACTATGAGTATGAGAAAACACGTGTATCTGATTTGCGTGTGCAACTGTTTAGGTAAAATGACTGGAATTTACTAAGGTTTTCAAATGTTGCCCGACTGGGTTTCATAAAGCTCCTTCAACTCACAGATAGACTTTTATCAGCGCTCCAACCACACACAAATCGTCCGGTTTCCTAGCGCACTCTGATATATACACCATTCGAGGTCCCGCTTTCTTCTGAGTCTCAATCTTATGAGTAGTCCATCTTATGAAAATACACTTCGAAATCTTGAATATCTCACCAGCTGAAACATGAGGCGGCCCTTGCGTACTCATTTGAAGAATATCATAAACGAGGGATTCAATTGAGTCTCCTGTGAAAACCGAGTTAATATGCAAATGAGTGTATTTGTATTTACAACTGCGTTGTTTTTCACCAATCTCATTTCAGTCGAACGGGGTTAATAGTTTTGACAGCACAACGAGTGAACAATTAAGTAACTCTATTTCATGAATCCAGCTGATTCGTTTGCCACTACCATCCACCGGAAGAGACCAGTCGATCATTGGCTGATCTTATCGTACAACAAGTGTGGAGAGGATAGCATATCGATCTGATTTTCACAAAAACTGGACGGAATAACTACTACTTAACGAGAGGAAAAACTGCCAGTGACTGTACTGACTTTATGGACTCGCATGTGAACGAAGAAATGACAGCCGGTTTTTGACTGTGTCGTGTATTAGGTGGAATGAACTCGTCCTGTAACAATGTTGTCCTCACCACGTTGTCTAACTTTAGCGAACGCCGAGCGCAGATAGTTGAAATCTCTCTTTATCTCGACTGTGTACCTGTACAGCAAATGTTATGGATATTAGACATGGACATACCGTGACTGCCAATAGATTTTGATGGTCTTTGCAGGAGAATCGGTTAGATTTTACAGTTTGCGGATTATCGCTCATGTTATTATCGTGCTGCCAATTCCGATGATGTTTACTTGGCAGTGTACTTAGACCCGCGTCCTTACGATGTTCTGAGATGCCATAAATGACAGCTTGTAGCGATGAAAAAACATGTGATGTCGAAGCTTGCCACAAAGCTCAAATGTTTTTCAGCTGGGATATTGGTGCTTCTAAACAGTGTTGAAATAATGAGTGTATTTCTCGAAAACGTTCCAATTTGGGTTCAAGTAGATCGTAAAGTTGACGGAAACTCGGGGGACTGCGCCTACCTGATGAGCCCCAAGAAGAAGGGCGAAACCGGTCGTGGGCTTCCGATGAGGTTTCATCAACCGCATGAGTAGTGTAGTAAATCTATGCAATGTATCGCGATGTCTCTATTATTGTACCAAGTGAAACATGAGGCGGCCTGGTGCAGCACATTTGGTTTCTCAAGAATATAAGTAATGTATTACGTGTTGAAATATATTTTTTGGCAAAAAAAATCACTCGGTAATAAGCTTAGGCGCCACGCTGCAAATTTTACTGGTCTTTACACTGACCTTGGGCTGCTGGTATTCGAGGTGAAACAAGGATATATGATAATGATTGGAGAAAATAAGGCAATTCGAGGGCTGGGATAATACAGATTGCCCAAGCCTAGACAGAGAAAGTTGAGAGTCAGAGGTCAAGCTCAAACCACGGACCTTCCGGTCAGTAAATCCACACTCTAACCACTGAACCATCTCTCCCCAGTAATGGGAGAGTGTTTTCCGGTACACTTTTGAAGAACCGCCTCCCACTCGTCGATGTCATACGCTTGAACTCAGGTAGGTACGAGGCCTTCCACCCCAGCACCTTGTAGGTTCTCTGCACATTCAGTGTTCCGAAGAACTGTTTATAGCATATCGGTAGGGCAGTCTGATGAGATATTAGAAATATTGTTCATGACCACCTAATACTTCTGACAACTTATGCTGTGTCAGAAGCTGGCCGCATTCCCTTGTTCTACAAAACAATTTTGTGGGATAATGCGTCTAGTTGTTTTCGAAAGTCAAGTAAATACCTTTAAAAGCATCTGACACAGAGACAGAAATTGAATGGTTTCACTCGTCACTGTGTAATCATGTGACGTTCGCAGGCCGCTTGAAATACCCAAGACTCAAAGTAGGTCTGTAACCTTATCCCCGTCTGAAGCTCCGATGTCATGAGGTTGCGCAACCGAACAGAACAAGGGTACGAGGCTTCATCCTTCAAATCGATATGTCAACAGCCCGTGAACAAAGCGAAAACTCTTCGGGTCGAGAAACTCGACCCATAGACAGGCATCGAATAGCACCTTCTACGCTCTGGCAATCAAGCCCAATACAGATGCTAAAAATTAATGTGGTTTTGACCTTTAAAGACCTGTCACATAAAGAAATGTATCGCATTCCCCTCCGTGTGAATTCCATGGTCGTACTCGCGTAAGGCTAGATAACCTACACAAGTTTGAACACTTCACTTGTTTTCCAGCCCATGCCTAATCCTGATTATACGCAACATCTAGGTCTGGAGAAAACAGCAGTTGAAAATGGCAGCTTCAACGAGGAATAGAGAGCATTCCCAATATTAAAGAGCCAGCTACTATATATCTCATCCAATGAATCGTCAAAGCTTCCCCACACCTTGCTCATCGCAGTTGCTGACAATAAGTGTGTTGAAAGGGTCACAACATCAATACCAACTTATTTTGACACAGCCTCATGTTACGTGAAATTGCTAATGTGGAACTGTTCTGGATGATACGAATACCTTCTAAGATCCATCCAACTTCTGACTGAAGTGGACAGATACTGAATACCGAATACTTATTCGTACAGAGTACGAACCGCACATACTTTTCGACAGTCCACGACCGCCTCGACGTTCTTGGGGCTCATCAGTTAGGCGCAGTCCAAGAGTTTCCGTCAACACTATGTTCTGCTTGAACCCAAATTACAAGAGATTCTTGATCTGGATATCAATCTGATTTCCGCGAGAGGCTTAGCTGAATCTGTTATTTACCGTGTTTTTCTTCACTTGTGCCTCATGCATTAGTTGATACGATATTTGGGACATCGCGATTTGTTATTGTCCGAACGTAAAACACTACTCATAAAGTTGCTGAAAATTTCCCGAGAGTTGACAGTAATTTCTCGAATATCAAACCAACTGAAACATGAGATGATCTGCAGTAGCATATTCAGAAAAGCATCACAAATGAGAGATCCGCCTGCGTTTCAAGTGAGTCTCCCGTGAAATCCAAATTAGCATGCAAACGAATGCATTTGTCGAGTCAATGTGTCGGTTAAACCATAGGCCTAGAGCCTATTGCTTTGCAAGTATTGGAAGATGCCAAAGGAACTCATGGTGCATATTAGCTGATAGGATAATTTCCACTTACCACTTCTGAAAGCATCCGTCATCAGGTTTCCTGCTTTTGTGCAGCATCGACATATTGTCGATTATGGCTGTCAAACCAACACATTTGGTCCCTGTTACAGTTCGCCACTACCGTACCAATCGTCCTGATTTGTTGAAGGGGGTGAATAAACCATCCCACTTGTGGTGGGGTGTAGACGACCAAAACACGACACGTCTGTATGAACAAAGCAAGCTGACCGACAAGCCAACCAGCGTCAAACTGATAGGCCAGTATGAATTCCGCTCTTACCCCTACCATTCCATGATTGGTGGAAACACCCGCGGCGTCATTCGTTGGTCGAAAAGCCGTGACACGCTGCGGCCTGGCCACTTTGAGTTCCCTCTTTAGTACCAGAACACCAGTGTCACCGCTTTTGACTAATTCGGACACAAATTCAAAAACTTCGACCGAAAATAGCCCCATTTATTTTCCCAGTTTCATTAGCGTTGGTGACATCATAAAATGGTGTGCAGCAGCTGCGCGAAGGGTTGACGAAATACTGCCAAGGACACCCGCTGGTATGGCAATTCGGTGAAAAACGAGTGCAGTTTGCCATTCGTGACAAGTAACCAAGACAGTGGAGCATTCACTCGGATGAATGGTTTGGATTCTAAGCGTGTTTCAAAGCATTTGCAGGCCTGGCTGTTGTCTCATTTTACAGAAATGCTGTATTTAAGTGACTCTACGGTACTCCTTGGATGTGTCTTCAGGAAGTGGTGTTGTCAGGCTATTCAGACTAAGAGGTTCTTAGCTCAGTTTGGAAACCCCAACACTCTCACACTTGTAAGTGATATTGAGCGCCAAGTGAGCCAGTAACACGTTAGTCTCTTGTCCGCATATATCACATCCAATACTTTCTTGGCCCACGACCACTCCAAACAGCGTCCATGATTCTTTGAACACGGGTTGTTCCAAGTTGCTTTGTCTGTGTAGTCATGGTATAATTTATAGGTCAGTGAGCAGCCTTTCCTCGGGTGTTGCAATGTCGAACTGGTTTGTGGGTTGGGAACCTGCAACTGTATAAGGAACTGATTTGAAAACCGAGTCTGTTGGGGCTTTTGTGTCAAGTTGATTTGACTTCTGCTTTTGTCCATATTAGAGGACACAGGCCTAAAAACGATCAATCGATTGGGTGTTGGTCAGTGTTTTGTGGTCAATCTTTCCCTCAACAGCGACAATAACTGGTTGAATTAGTTCAAGGAATCAGATCACACTGGTTTTAGGAACACGTGGTTACTTTTTACTTGGTTGAAAAAATGGGCCTCAACTTTTAACATATTCTGCAAGAATTGATGCAAGAGTAACGAAATACTTTGTATCCAGATTGCCAACAAAAAAACAGGCCAGTCCAATCTGTTTGACACTTCTTCCATAAGAATGGCAATGATTAAACAGTGGCTCAGCTCCTGCTACTTCCGGTGCGATAAAAAGCCCACCTAATATGTATGGAGACATCCGCTTGACTTGATAGTGCCATGAAGGCAATGTTCTGTCACGGATACGAAGGGACCACATGGTGAGATTACCTGGGAGTAGTTGCTTCTGGGAGACGATATCTTGTGGTTGAAAGAGGCTTCAGGACAGCAAAAGAAACTACCGCTTTTGAGCTGCGTTCTCTTCCGAGGTGGATAACTGTGCCATCAGGGCTGACCAAGTCAGCTACACTATCAGTTTGGATAACACAGATATGCAATCTTTGATGAGGTTCGTAAAGTTCCAGACGGTTCTTCTGTTGAACGGCCTGCATACTTCTGGCCCCACAGAGTCGCAGCCCTGAGTTGTGATAAGATGTGACAATAGAAAATCCTTATTTCTCGATGTTCTTTCTTATTACACCTGTTCGAATCGACCTTGCCTTCTTCTCAGGAAACCATCAACTCCATCAACTCCCGTTGAGCGATCACAGCAGACACCCTGTCTAATGGAGGAGACTATTCTCTGAGATTCTGTAGATGGAGGACCTCTCTTTAAAAGTTTTTGCCGTGGGTAGGATCACTACTCCTCGTAGTTCAGCTTTTCCCACCAAGTAACCCAGACGGTAGACTGTCGAGAATATCCGAAGAAGTATATTAGTGTGAAATCCGGGAGGCAGGGGGTTTAGCTTTTTCAAACCTGAACTTGGACAGAATTTATATGTGGATAGCCACTTTGAGAACTAATGTGTCTAGGCTTTACCTGTCAAGCACCTGCTCAGTATTACGATACAAGCGGTTCCGGTGTATATGTTGTGCTTTCTGTTCTCCATTGAGAGGGCATTCCGCATCTATATAGGTTCTGGCCGAGATTGAAAGGATATCAAATTCTAGCCCAGTATTACGGGAAACGGGCGGAAACTTATCAGTTTGACGGTGTGATCTGTAATTTACTGCGAGGTATTGAGGACCACTGCATTCGATTGGTGAACCAGAAGCCGGTCAGCCCGGATCAGCGGTGGATCTGTCCGGGCGTTCTATGTGTCCGACCTCATTTTACAGTGTTGTTCGGAGAATCAATGATAAAAGGCGTCACACTGCATACTGAGAATACCCCTCTCTTGCCTTAAGTCACACGGAGTGATCTAAAGTTACCGTATGCAAAATACAGTTCAATGATCTTTTCCAGATAGGCCCGGCTACTAATGCAAAATGGGCATACGCGAAAAGTTAATCCCCGCCAATTTTGCAGGCTCCAACTTAATGTACGCACACAACCTTGACCTATTTTTGATGAAAACAATTCCTTATCCACATTAGGCTCATTTTTTGCGAAAATCTCCTTTCGGACGTAAAACCTCAAATGAACTTTCTGACGCTTCCAACTCTCGTTCATGACACTAGATGTTTTGCAAAGCCACAGAGTGATCGATCAGCAACATTTATGCAATTACAATAGCCACCAAAAGACACTTTCAACTGTTTCTGACAGGTGGAGGTGTAATTTATTGGTGGTCCAAAAATTTGGCAAAAATCAACTTCTGCTCAGAGGAATTAACTATTGGCCACAGGACCGCTGGTGACTGGAAAAACTTTCTTGGCGACGTTTGTGCCTGGCGGCTTTTGCAGACTCCAACGGTTAATCATACCGAGAAATTTGTGGATCCAACGACTGGAGCTCACAGACAAACTTCGACAAGATGCAGAATAAACGCCAATGCGGCACACACTGATCTTTAGTGGACAGCTACTTGTGTGGGTTCGTTTGGAGGCAAAGGTACCGAAAAACGGACCTTTTCATGCAAATTATTAATGACATGTCCCAATTTCACCCTATTCAATAAAAACTAAAAGTACAAATTTCATATCCTCTTTTTTCTAAGCTTTTTGGGTGCCGGGGTTGATTTTTTGGCGGGGCTTATCTGGAAAAGATCCCAGTTCAGTCGTAGGACTCTCCTCGATAACCTGGGATGAATTGTTTGAAGGAAGCATACTGTGAACCCGCCCTTTTGTGCATCAAATATCGTCTGATGTGACAATGTGAAAACGTCTTCAGTAAAGAATATGCAGCAAGGTACCCCCCGTTGCAGTTTTAACATGACCTTGTGGATATTGGTATTTGACAGTCCATATGGATTTTCCTGGTAAGTGGTTCATCTTTCTGCATCATTTCAGGAGTATACAACAACAAAAAGCAACCTAATGGGGCGGAACAGCAGTTTCTAGCGTCAGAATATTGTCAGCAATCTGAGCCGTAGAGGAATATCAGGAATGTGCACGATTTCCCTTGTGGACTTTTGGATCGCAATGAAGATTGCCGTATTGTTGGATTATTTGATGAGGTTGAACATTTTGTTGTAAACGTCTCCTCACCAATCGACGTGGCGCCACTAGTGCGTCTTGGTACGGCAGTGCGAGTGTGTGTGAGAGTTAAGCAGTGTGGCACCCATGACTGGTTGTCATTTTAGTTAGGTGAGTGGTGATCTCATCGGTCGGCGTACAGATGAGTTTTGAGCTTGACCTCTCTGACCCGTATCCTGTGATCTTTGCTCCGATGATTCTACGATTGATAATGCTGATTGACCCATTCATCTGATACGCACTTCCGTTTGAATTCTCTGGATGAGTTGAGAATCCTTCGCCCGTAAGATTGCGTGGAGTTGACCACATTCTGTATGTGGGTTGTGGACTGCCCCATTTCAGGAACTCCCCCACATATCGGGATGTTCACATTTCCTAAACCTAATTGATGTTCTCAGTCTGGTCTTGATATGGAAATCAGGGATCATGCTCTCTTCTGACCACAATATGTTGGTTCATTCGCATGTACGCCCATCTTTCGCTTTTTCCAACACAAGGCAGTACACAGTCTGCTTTTATCGCATTCATACTCTGGATGTCAGCATCGATCTAGTAGACAGTCGAAATAGGGCTGAGGCCACATCGAACGACCAGAGATTCTATCCAGATATGCATTTCATACTCACTTCAAACCGATATTGGGATACCGCGCTCCAACACGTTAGCACAGTCGGGTGCTATAGTGTTCCCATCTAACATAAATACCCCAGGTTAATAGTAAAATCTACCGCTAAATAGATAATGGTCCTTACAAGATGACCAAGCGCGTATTTCTGATGCTTTCATCCAGTGTAACGTTTTGGGAGATGGCTTTTACTCAGAGATCATGAAAAACCTAAGGTTTTAAGGGCTCTGTTAAACCGTCTTCCACTTCGCAACCTTTTTGTTGTTTCCTACGTATGCTATGATATGTAACTTACCGATATCCACCTTTCCGTTATCATCTTTTTGACAATGGGAAGTACCTCCTCAGCAAATACGATCGGCCGTTAGCTTTGGGGTGTTCCTCGTAACACTGTCCTCACCCATCTAGCCCTCTGTGTTGTGCTGACTACTTCATCTAGCAAAGCAGACCTTACTTATTCTGCCTGAAGCACTGCAGTGGCTGACTAAGATTACCGCGACTACATGCTCTACATATTGTCCCTTTAACACCCCAATGTCCATTCAAACTTGACAATAATTACTCATGTTACGTCTCAAAGTACAACTGTGTGCCCCTACTGCAGCAAACACTCGGATATACTCTTGTCCCTTCTTCCTTTAGTACAACCGACCTCCGTAAAGGCCTTAAGTGAGCACGGGAATTCAACTCATCACGTTAGTCCAAAAGTTAGTTATATGTTTCTTCTGCGCCTCACTACGGTCTGGTATTTTCTGTCACAATGGAACCAGCGTGTTTGGGCGTAGATTATCGGTTCTCTACTAACCAGGTTTTTTTCATTTGCGTGACAGGGCCGCTACTGTCGCGTATCACATGCAGAACGGATTTTGTGTTTATTTCAACAGCAGGGGGATACGCGCTGTTGATCCACCACCCTTCGTCCAAATCTCCATACGGTGGAATATTCTCGAAAAGCTGCTTCAAACACTACAGACATTCTGAAGAGAACGAAGCCTTTCACACCCGGACCGCGGAGAACGTGAACAGGCACAGTTCAATACCTATTTGGAGCTAGATCGGACTTCTTCCACAGCGCTTCCATTCTGTGAGCCAAGTTCACTACCCAAGCAGTAATGGAGTTCAGGGAAGTGATTCTTTCAAGAAATGTCCGATGTAAATCCAATGCGATTTTTCTTCAGACTGCTGTTGTTATTTTAAATTTTACCCCCACCATTCACAATGCATACATAGCAGCTATACTTGTTGTGTCAGTCAGTGGAATCCTAGTTTGGAACGATTTCATTGTGATGCTTGACACTATTTCTCACACATTGGGCGTACAGCGATTTTACCTGATTTCGAGCTTCCAAAACTTGCTATATCCTTACGTGGGACTCCCTGTGACTTCCTACAGATCACTTAAACCCATTGTAAAAGCGTTGGTTAAATTTTACCTTGTCCTATTCTTCGTCTCCCCACATACGGTGTCATCTTAACCAAAAATGAATATTTCCATAGAGTAAACTATTCACAAGGTTACTGAAAACTATTCGACAGCCCAGACCGGTTTTCCCTTCTTGGGGCTCATCAGGTAGGCGCAGTCCCCGGGTTTCCGTCAACCTTATGTTCCGCTTGAACCCAAATTGGACTGTTTTTCGAGAAATACACTCATTTGCAAATCAATTCGGTTTTCAGCAACCTTGTGAGTAGTTTCCCTTATGGAAATATACTGCGATATCTCGAATATCGTGCCAACTGAAACATGAGGCGGCCTGTGTGCAGCACACTCAGTTGTAGAATATCATAAACGAGAGATTCAGTTGAGTCTTTCGTGAAAACCAAATTGATTTGCAAATGAGTGCATTTCTCGAAAATGTGATTCTGTTCTGCGTCAACTACTTTGCCTGTCCTTCAAGTTATTAGCAGATGCGTGGGTGAATTGCCAGCAGACAGTTGGTGCCTTCCCACTGGGCTTTTTGAATTAACCTACCACATGCATTTCATTCCTCGTTTCGTTTGCCTGGAGGTGTTCTTTTTCTCATGATTATTGTCTCATGCCTACGGAAATTTTCAGTGTATTACCAAACTCCCGTTGGCGTGAGGAGTGGTTCGAAAATGATACATCCTATCGGGCAGTGTTTTTCACGCCTGCATTAATGTGGAAAGCACTCACACACACAAGCACAAAAACAACACAGAAGGCGACGAGCCTGGAAGGGAATCCCCGTTACTAGCACACCAATTCACGGAATGCTTGGATAACCATCTTGGCGGAATTCATCTACTTAGAGGTAATTCATGCGAATCATTCGTTAATCCGATACAAAAAACGCAAAGGCTTTTTTGCCGGGGAGCTTTACTTGGTAACCTCGCATCCATTTTTAATGGTTTCGTGCAAACAGATGCAACCGACACCACAAAATTGCTAGATCTAACACCAAAGTTTCACGAGGTCGGATTCCTTGTCTGTATTTGCAAATCCGTCTTTTTGTTCATCCACTGAAAACTACGCATTTAGAACTTAATCGCATTTGGCAAGTTACTGGTAAATTAAATCCACTTCAGTTTTTTGTCCTTCGTACACACTTCGGATGCCGTCGCCCTTGACAGGAAAGTTCTAATCATCTAAAAGCCGACAACAGCACATTACAACGGAGTTGCTTTTTATCTTGGAAATTTGAAAATGAAGAGTTTCTTGAAAAGCTTATTATCCCGTACTTCCTGTCATTCAAAGGACACTGTTTATCACTATAACCGTGGTTTATCATCGCCGCTTGCAGTTAGGCGGTCACTTTCTCCACCTCCAGCCGAATGCTTGAAGGCTAAGTCAAAGCAGGAACAGTTTGACAGGGAACCTTATTATGTGAAGGGTGCATAAACCGTTGGCTGACATAATCATAACCATCAGTGACACTAATACCAGTTGATAATACTGGCACTTCACTGCTTACTACCATGGCCGGGGTCCGGCAGGGACTGTCAGTAGTGGTTGTATCATTTGAACCTCCACATATTCATGACAGTACGAAAGGCTCGTGAGAAGCCAAATGTGTGACCGCACGTGATTCTTGGCATGAATCGGATAAAGCTGTGAAAGTAGCTGTCAGTCAGCGTGAACCGGACCAAAGTGATAGAACCAAATTGAATACTTGTAATGTACTGCTCATAAAGTTGCTGAAAATCCATCGACAGCCCACGGCCGGTTTCGCCGTTCTTGGGGCTCATTAGGTAGGCGCAGTCCCCGGGTTTCCGTCAACCTTATGTTCTACTTGAAACCAAATTGCACGAAATTAGCGAATGTACACCTATCTGCAAACTAAGTTGGTTCTTTCGAGAGACTCACCTGGAATCCAGTTGAATCTCTCGTTTATGAGAAGATCATAAACGAGAGATTCAGCTGGGTTCCAAATTAGTTTGCAGATGAGTGTATATTCGCAAATTGAGTACTATTTTGGAGGTACACTACTCATAAGGTCACCGACAAACAGAAGGTTTCAGCTCATGTGGGGTCGGATCATTGATGTGAGATGGATAATCAGGGTGTGAGGCGGACCAGCCAGTCTGATGTCTGGCTCCGTGGTGGTCCGGTGAGCGCACTTCGTAGGTGGACAGTTTTTGTGCGTTCATGGGGCTCATTAGCCGCACAATGCTCTTAGTTGCAAAACCTTTAGGAGTGGAGCAAAATCATTTGCGCCAAAATATTGGATTCTGTTGCCTGTGTGATCCAATCAAAAATCATCCTAATCTACTTTCATATTTTTTCAGCTCACCAAATTTCATTGTCCACTGAGGCAGTCATACCTCTGGCGGAAAAGTCTGGTGGAATGATTTCCCGGCATTGCTGAGACCCCGGGATGACTAAATGTGCTCAAAAGTTTCGACTGGTATTCTGAACTCAACTGCCCGATTGCTTATTTCATCAGGGACACGTCATAGCTTCCCAAAAATTCAATTTAATCGTGCGAATACTGAGCGCTTGCGTTGCCATCTGTCCCAAACC